ATACTTACTAGAACTAAATGAAGTGCCGACACWATGTGAGACTTTTGTTGTGTTTTCTTTAGTTTCATGTGAGGCATTGCGGATTTTCATATACAAATTAGTTTAAATCTTTTAGAAGTGAGCCTTCATTAAAAGGCTGAATAATTAATATCTTACCTGTTAAAGATAATTTTTAACTAARACTGAAATGGAATGCTACCATCAGGCTTTTAGGAAGGATTTTAGAAAACAGCGTCAAACTTTAAGCCATGACCGCCACCACCTCTGCTTAGGGAAGTTTAGGAAATTTACGWCACGTAAACAAAGTTACGAACAGACCGGGACCAGTGATTGTGACAACACACAACACCACCTACTGAAGCTGTAACATTGCCACCCACCTCCTCTATCCACACCGGCGCAATTTASTCTTTATGTATCTTCCTCTGGCTTTGTAAAATAATTGCAGTCACCCGCATGCCGCTTAGGAAGTTTACAAAATTTATGTAAGGTTTAAAATAAAAAACAACAACTCTCGATGAACTTAAAGATTGGCATGCTGACCTGAGGGAGTACTGAGGCATCACCAGCTGAAAGAAGGCATCGGAAAACCRAACAGGGTGTCTTTAGGTAAAATGCATGGCTGCCATCTCAAAAACTACTTCACTGCACAATAACGTGTTTCTGTTGCATGTTTGTTTGTTTCTCTCCTGGGTTATGTGTGTTGAAATAAATAGAAATCCATACTGTTAATGTTATTTGGGGAGAGGAAGGATCAGCGGTTATGGAAGTTGTCCAATCAGAGAGTTGGTGGTTTGATTCCRCTGCTTTTCATTCACACATCAAAGTGTTTTTGGGCATGACACTGACATATGACACTGACCCCCCTCCCCCGGCCTCTGAGTGTGATTTAAAGCATAGAAAGTTGCTATAAAAGTACAACACTTTTACCAACATCAATAAGATTTTTAAAAAAATGGCGTTCTTTACTGTACTGTATTTCCAGTTTCTGCTACACTGTGCTGGTTTTACTGGACTGAACTTCAGCCTTTGACACCGTGGATCACTCTGTTCTTATCAACAGACTGAGATATTTGTTTGGTATTTCTGGCTCTGTGTTAAACTGGTTCACCTCTTATTTATCTGAACGGTCTTTTACTGTTTTTATGAATCATGTTTACTCTGATGTTGCACCGCTGTCTTGTGGAGTACCCCAAGGTTCAGTTTTGGGTCCAATCATCTTTTTATTTTAGCCTTTAGGAGGTATTTTAAAACATTACAGTAATGTGTCCTACCATCTGTATGCTGATGACATACAGTTGTACTGTTCCTTTCGACCCTCTGAGTTCTTCAAACTATCTGAACTCAGTAACTCTGTCAGAAGTCAAAACATGGCTGAACAACAACTACCTGCAGTTAAATGCAAACAAGACTGAAACTCTTATTATCGCCCCTGATGATAAAATCCCTGTAATTAGGCAGCACCTTGCTTTTTTAACCCCTTCAGTGAAAAATAGTCTCAGAAATCTGGGTGTTTTCTTTGATGGTTCTATGTCTTTTGACAGCCATTGTAAAACTTTAGTTGGTAATTGTTTTTATCATTTAAGGAACATTTCAAAGCTGAGATCTTTTGTGTCACAGAAGGAGCTAGAGATGGTTGTTCACACTTTTATTTCTTCTCGTTTAGATTACTGCAACAGTCTTTTTACATGTYTAAACAAATCCTCCTTGACTCGGCTTCAGTCTGTGCAGAACGATGCAGCGAGGTTATTAACAAAGACCCACAGGAGAGCCCACATTACACCTGTTTTAGCCTCTCTGCACTGGCTCCCTGTGACTTTGAAGAGTCATTTTAAAATTTTAGTTTTCACTTTCAGAGCACTTCATGGTCAGGCCCCCAAATACATTTTGTACGTTCTGAAGCCTCTCTGTCCATCCAGGAGTTTGAGGTCTTCTAATCAAATGCTGCTGGTGGTCCCTCGAACCCATTATAAAACCCGTGGAGACAAAGCTTTTCATATGGTGGCCTTGAGGCTCTGGAACGCTTTCCCTCTGTTCCTTCGCTGCTCAGATTCTTCTGACTCTTTTAAGAAACAACTTAAGACATTTTTATTCAGACAGGCTTTTAGTTAAGTGCTTTTTATTATGCTTTGATTGTTGTTTTTTTATATTTGTGATCTGTTTTAATTTTTTTGTTATTTTGCTTTCTGTTAAGCACTTTATGATGTTTGTGTCTGTGAAAGGTGCTATAAAAATAAAGTTTAATCACTTACTTGTGATTACAGCAAACTACTAGAAGTTAGGTTCTATGAAAAAAATCTGCAAAAAACTGAATCCAGAAACGGTAAAACACAACATTGTGGTGCTTCACTGTCCTTTCAGAGAGTTTTATTAAAATACAGCAAGTTGTTCAGGCGTTATTTTGCTAACAGACACACACAGACATTTTTTATTGTTCACCATTTGGTGGTAGGCGATTAAAATTTAACACATTTTAGTCTCGGCTGAATTAAAGTGTAAGTTTAGAATTTGAAGCTGGATATTAACTGTTCATAAACTTTCCACAAACCATCATTTTAAACTCTTTTTAATGAGTTTTTGCTTGTTTTCCAACCTGGAATCCCTCCTTTAGTTCCTGTTGAACACTCTTTTGTCTTAACTGGAAGTCATTGCGAAAGCAGCGGAGAGTCGTCGTTAAGACTGTGCGGCATTCAGAAAACACAGGAAACAAAACAAGCACACATGCTGCACAGCCTCTCCTCTGGTGGCTTATGGGTAAAAAAYCCWGTTTTGACCGCCTGCTGTTTTGTCAGGCTCAAGGAAAGAAGGCGCTAAGTCCGTCCTGATTCACACACCGTTGTTCGGCGCGAGAGGCCCACAGGGGCAGCATTCCACCTCGTGGTGCAGCCTACCGCTCTCCACCAGTCATCCTCGCACGTTTAAAACCTGCTCGTCCCATCCTGAGCCCACCCCCTCCGAGCGCTTTCCCATCAGCAACAACCGTCGCAAACCAGAGTTTCCCTTTTCCTGTAAATTCCCAGATAAGCCCGTTCAGCAGAGGCCCACCTCTCTGCACGGGTTAGCTGATACTTTCCGGGTGTTTTTCCATTGTTCATGTGGACTTTTCCTGATAGCGGTGATAAGAGAGCAGCTGGGGGAGAATATTCAGCTGCTGTCCGCTGGAAAAGAATAAAATGATAATCCTAAAAGGGTGTTGAAGTGACTGACACAAATTTTGGCGTCTGAATTTGTTTATGACAGCTTGAAGTGCTGTCCTCAAATCCTTTCTGACAAATGTGTTGATGGATTTCAACAGAGAAGGATCGTAGGAGCTCATGTTATGTCTAGAAAACAACATTTTTGTCCAATAAACTATCAAAAAATGGGTACRGAACTAAAATTTTAGTCATGACAAAGACGGTTAGATTCAACCCGAACATTCAGTAAATAACCTCACAAACAGGACTGTGCAACATCATAGATTCTTGCTTCTTTCTTTATGTTTTGCTTCCAAAAAGATGAGTGAAATTTTTACTTTGGCTGCTTTTTTACTCGTTTTCAAGCCAGGAATCTGATCATTTTCTATTAGCAATGACCAATTAATATTGGCATTTTTATAGGGTTGGGCAAAATTTTATTATATGCAATTAATCACCAAAGAAACTGTCGACAATTAATATTTACTGCAGTTAATGCCAGGTGATTCTTTTTTATGTTTGATGCATTTTCACAATCAAGTGTGCATGTGAGGCCGTGGCATGTTGCGTTAAAGATATGCTGCCACTTTCATATTGTGAAGAAGGTGGATTTCAATTCACAGCTCACCACTTTAAGCTGTTAAAATGAAGAAGTTCATTTGGCTGACGGTTTGTACGTATGATTTTACAACACAGGAAAAATGATTCAGAGTCAAAAAGCATATAAGTGCAAGTGTCATCTATGAATCGTTATCGGCTAAATGCCACAAATAATTGTGATTTTATTTTTTGCCAGTATTGCCCAATTCTAGTACTCTGTCAGAAAGAAGCAATTTGTTTCCATTTCTTTAGCTTCTTCAATTTCTTTAATTTTTTTTAAGGAACAGAGAGTCGAGGCCTGGACAGAAAATAGGCGTAAAAGAAGCCGAAGTTCTTCGGAAAGTCTGGGGAAGACCCGATGAAGACCACTTCGACCTACGACAAAGAAAGCCTTGCTTCTCAGAAGCGAAACCCATTTGCTCGGTGCTGTCAAATCTCTTGATCCTGCACTCTAAATAAGTGGTGACACGGGAGCAGTTTTACATAAAATCCCTCTGGATTCACCCAACTGGTCAGTGAGCACCGAACACACAGCATTAATCTCCTCATTAGTGCCAAGTGTGTCGCTCATATGTTCCCTAAYACTCATTCAGGGTGTCAGCTCACCCTGAGGAAGCTGTCAGCTACAGATGTCATCCCCCCACCCCCCCCCATCCACATGACCCCACTCCTGCCCCCCCACCACAGCCCCACATGGCTCTGAGGACTGTCCCCCATCATCTGAACAAAGGAGTGGGGGGCTTATGTGGAGATCAGGGGACCAAACATTCCTGATTCAATATGGGAGGGTGGTCAGCAGGTCCAATTAGTGCACTTTACAAGTCTTTGAGAGCCTGGGGTGTACAGGGGGGTGTTTGATGCAGTTTTAGGAGTTTCTCCTTTTGGTTGCTTTTCCATGTAGCTATAAATCATTGGACTTCAAAAGTCCTTGACTTCAAAAACTTTGTGAGGGTTGAAACCGTCGGACAGAGCTGCTCCTCAAAGTCTGATCCTCTCTATAAACCAGTGATTAAATAAATGTTCAGGATCTTCTGTCCTGCAACAGAGCAGCATCAGCTCCTGGTTGTTTCTCCTTCATTACCCCAGATGGATCAACACTGATGCTGTCAGCTCAGCGTGTTGCAGTGAGATTTGTTTCCTGCAGCACCATGATCTGATGCTCACAACCAGAGGTTTCTGAAGCAGTCGACGCGGAGAGAGAAAAGGTAAACTGGAGGTACTTACCTACGACACAAGGTCCCGTGTAAACGTCGAGGTACGCGGTGTATCCGAAGCGGTGAGCCTCCTCACAGCGTCCAGGCGCACATGGTGCCCGTCCCCCGCAGACAGATGTCAGCCCGAGCTCCGGAGCTGCGGCCGCTGGAGGAGTGAATAAATGCGCAGGGCGCCTCCCCTCCTCCTTGTCGTTGGGCTCCTGGACATGTGAGCACCACCTTTCCTCCCTCGCCGCGCTGACGCCACAAAGCACCGGACGTGGAGCAGCTCTCCTCCTCCTCCTCCCCGGTGATCCGCAGCTGAGCGCCTCCGTTTACGCGCGCAGCTCGGTGCCACCCACCTACAGGAGGAGGAGGGGTGGGGGGTGTTCGTGGCGAGTGGACAGAATCTTAATGAGGGCTGCTGCAGAGTTTCCTCCCGGCTGATGATGGTCGGAGACAGCACCGTGGTGAAACCTGGGGTTTTGGGGCCCTTTGGGTGGGGAGGGGGCACGGAGTGACGCAACGCATCTTAGGGCGCTTCTGTGGGACACCTGTTGATAAAACTAAACATTTTCTTTCACAAGCGCAGTGACACACAGATATCTGGCTCCCACAGATTGGTTCCGTTCCCAGGTGTCAATGAATCAATTTCACGCACTCCTGGTACACTATATTGCCAAAAGTATTTGCTCACCCCCATTCAAATGACAATCAAGGTTCATAAAAACATGGATGTCAGAGTCTGGTGTGGATGAACTTGAGCTCAACCCAACAGAACATCTTTAGGATGAATTAGAGAGGAGACTGAGAGCCAGGTCTTCTGTCCAACATCAGTATGTGACCTCACAAATGTGCTTCTGGAAGAATGGTCAAAAATCCCCATAAAGACTCCTAAACCTTGTGAACAGCCTTCAGAAGAGCTGAAGCTGATCTTGCTGCAAAGGGACCAGTGTCATTTTGAACCCAATGGATTAGGAGCTCATTTGTGAGTCAAAGCAGATGAGCGAATACTTTTGGCAATACGGTGTATCTCAACTTATTGTGGATAAAGCACACCTGTTCATAWAAACATTTTCTTCCACCCCAACCTCTCCACCACCATGGACAAGACCAATAAMCTGTCAAAGCCTATTCCTGCACAAGACTGGACCGAGCTTCAAGACCATCAGAAAGAAACTCAAGGAGGAGACAACTGTTGGTGTGATTCATCAGAAATGGAAGAAAYAAAATGACCACTGGTCACCCGTAAAGCATCTTGCTTCAGGATGATCAAAAGAAAGTAGAGCTGCACCAATCTATAAAGTCTGACCAGTCGATTCTGATTTTTTCCCCAATAACTGACATTGTCCAGTGTTAGGTTACAACACACCTTCAAAGTTCAAACTTTATTTTATTGAAAAACATCGAGCAATACCCTTGAAACAATACACACTTCTTTTAACTGGACACAAGGCCGTGCTCACAGCAGAGCAGAAGGCGACAGCGGCTGATTTTCAGACCTTTGTGAAGGTAAACGAGAAGCTGTTTTTCCCCGGGTATGAGCCGATCTCCCAAAATAAAGGAAATCAGTGCCGATAAATCAACCAGCCAATTTATCGTTGCACCCATACAAGAAGTAAGATCTAGACTGCAGGTGAGTAATGGTTATTTCACGTTTCTTCCATAAACACACTAACAGTTGCTTACTTTGCTTCTGTTGGTCAATTTTTAATGTGTTTAAGATGTGATACTAATTCAGGGTAGCCTTTAATGTATTTTATTGTAAAATACTGCACGTTTGTTTTAAAATCTTTTAATGTACCAAAAAGAACCGATCTGTAATRTTTAGTTCAGGATGTGAGTAATAAATTAAATAGATAAAATAGCATTTGACTTAGTAATTTAATTTTGGGTTGTGTCGTTTTGAGCAAATGATTTTAACTCACTCTAATTTGTGACCCATCATAGCGAAATGAGAATTTGGTCAAAATGATCTAATTACATTTTCAGATTCCTGCTTTAAAAGCTACATTTTGATACCTGGATCGTTCTGATWTCATAAGCTTATCCAGAGATATAACTTAATTTGYCTTGTTGGTTACAATAATATATTTATATTAGGTCTGAATCCTAATTTAGTGTAAATTTATTGAGTGATTTTTGTTGACAAGATAAAGAGGAAACCTCAAATAGTATTTGTATAAGATTTCCCAGTTGGGAAGAAACAAAATCTTTACTAGCTCACAGGGAAAAATTCCAAATTTTACGGCATTTTTACTCAAAATCTGTTTTTTTGTTGCTACTGCTAAAAAAAATGCTTAAATTTTTTAGGTATATATTTCACAGTTCATTCAAATGATACATTGATAAGGCATTAATTCATTATATTTAGACAAAATGCAATTTTTGCAAACGTTTAAATCAAAACCCTATATCTGCCTATTTCTCCTCATTTCGATGTAACAGGTCACATATTTGCTTGAAGCCCTAGCTGGGACAGAACGTCACCAGTCCATCGTGTCAGGACAGCTCTTCTTCCTGTAATCACCTCTCAAACAGACAAACCCTGAGTCTGAGGGCAGCTGTCAGCCTTCTATTAGCAGGTTAAACCACTTATCTGTCCATATGGGGGGAGCGGGAACGACTGACCTCAGCTGGCACCCTGACGTGAAACAGCACTTTGTTAAACCACACAACTTCACCAGCAGGGTAAACAGCAGCTGGTGTTTACTGCACGGACAAAGCAACAGACAACACAAGTGGGTTATAATCACTGAAACAGAACATTCCTGTTTAAATTAACTGAACTTTATCAGACAATAAATCRTTCAGTCAAGAGAATTAGATCGAACAGGAAAAATGTCTTAACATGTGCATTTTTATATTTTTGTACCAATGAATAAGTGAGTAATTCTGTTGAAGTTTAAAGGAAAAAAAAAACGAAGCATTTTTGTGTTTTAGTTTGAAATACTGTCTCACAAAAATGTTTAAAATATCCCTTTACAAGGACAATAGATTCAAGTACGTCTTGCTKCTGAGAAAATGTCTTTGAGACTGCACTGCCCCCTACAGGTCACAGCATCCCGCTGCAGCCAATTACAAACCATGACTCAACATTTTTCACTTCATCATTACAGCCTCAAACCAGCTGCGGTGGTTTGAATAAAAAAAAAAACTGAATTACATAAAAGATGTCACTTTTATTTTATTTTTTATAAATACAAAAATGTTATATTTTTTTAAAACCAGTTTCATTAARGTGAAGATTATACAGACGATGTGTTAGGGTTTCAGTTCAGCCGGCTCTTTTTCAGYCTGGAGGCGTCTGCTGATGCTTTACGTTTGCGTGACGGCGTGCCCGGATCTTCTTCAGCTGCAGTCAGATGGTAMAGCTCGATAGGTGGGGTCGGCTCCTTAGGGAGGCCAGATACAATAAATCTGGTGTCAAATTTACCAGCAAATTTAATGCAGACTCATTAACTCAGTCTTTCAAGATGTCTATAAACAATATGTATTGATTTATAAAGTAAAAACATGACTTTAAATGAATATATTCATTACACAAACTGAAGAGTTGTGTTTTTACCTGCATGAGGTAATCTGCGATGTACTCGGGCTTTAAGCACATCACTCCCTGTGCGCTCGCCTCGCTGACGTCCACTTTGAAGTCTCCAGGTTTTAGTCGACTGAAGTCTGCGAACAGATGTGTGGCTTCTTTGTACAACGATGGAGAGGGGCTGGGCAGAACCTGCAGACAAACACAGGTTAAAAACTGCAGCCGTTACAGCAGATTAGAGGTCTGAAAACACACAAAAATATATTTTTAAACCCRTCAAATGAATAAAATAACCAATTAATGCTTAAAATTAAAAATTCCATTCATCACTGCAGATGTCCTTACATTTTGTGTTCTTAAGTWAAATATGCTGTGCAGCAAAGGAAATACAACACTTTCACATGACAGAGCAGATATTTCCTATTTTAAACTGAGATATACCATTCAAGTCACTTCAGACTGTTATGACACAAAATGCTTCTTTATTTAGCAATTAAAATTAACAACAACAACAACAACAACAACAACAACAACAACAACAACAACAACAACAATAATAATAAACTAAGAAGCAAGAGCTACTTACTGAACTTGATTTTATTAAGAAGCCAGACTTGTGGTAACTCTGGTTTCTCTCAAACATCCCTACTATGATGTTTAATAAGATGGTAAAAAATAGTTGTGAAATATTACTAAGAGCTGTCCAACCTGAGGACCCCCCCAAATAAGAGCAAAAACAAATAAAAAGTTTAATTTGATGCTGGCTTTAGTGACAGACTTTGCCTACCTGAGTCCCAACAACAACAGGAGGAAAAGACAACATAAAATGAAAGTGTCTAATCATACAAAATAATAAATACAAAATCTTAAAAACTGATCTAAATATAATTTTTTGACAACTTTTGCTGGTTTTGGCTCATTGACTCAAAACAAACCTTAGCTCTACCAGACTGCAGTAACCGTCTGAAGCCTGATTCTCTGCTCTGGTCGATGTTCAGCATCACAGTCCATCCACTGAAGGCTCCCTGAGAAAACATCCATTCATGACCAGGAGTTTAACATTTGGGTCTGTTTCTGGTTGGAATATTCAGAAATATAGTTGTGACTGAATCCAAAACTGAACAAATGTGCTTGTAATTTTACTTTCTGACAATTTTCAGAAAAATCATTTTTTCTTGTAATTATAAGATGAACACACATCCTACGTCTTGGTTTTCTTTTTGAAAGACACATTTGAAGACATTTTAAGGATCACAAAAAATCCTGTTTAGTTTATACATCAGGACATGATGCTGTTTGAGTCTGCGTACCTTCTGTTCACAGCTTCTCTGCAGGGATTTTCTCCAGCGCATGGCAGCTAATGCCAGTCTCCTTTGTTGGGAGGTGATGGAGGGTAAAGCATCTAGGATGGAGCTGCTGCCCCACTCGTACTCGTCCTCCTGATTATATATAGARATGAAAGCAAAGAGGAAATTACAATTCAGCATAAAAAATATGATTTTACATTTATGCTCATGCAATTGAACTGCAACCTGCTGCTCTTAACATATGAGTTGCTTTTTTAGTATTTTATAACTAAGAGTGTTTTTGTCAAGCTGCTGCAGAGTTCTGACAAATTTACTGAGCTGCAGTTTTTTTTGTGCAACATAACGTAGCTAAAACAAAAAATATAAAAATAAAGTCTTAAACGATCATGGAGCAGCCAATCACAGAGGAGGAACTGTCGTCAGTATCTCACCTGGATGAAGCGTCCCACTGAGCGACAGGCCTCCAGGTAGGAGCGGTGCAGGATCCATTTACCAGCCGCCATCGCTGCCAGATACTTCTCGTTACGCAGAGGACTCCCTACGATGATGTGTGAGCAGCTGGGGTCGAAGGACTGCTTGTCCAGGACGATGCCACCTGCAGGTTGACACAGAAGTAATAAATAAGCCTAATTAATGTGTTGATAATGACACTGTTGTCAGAAGGAATGTTCTGGTTCAAGCTCCTCTTTATCTGATCTCAGATCCTCTGTTAGAAGGACTCACCTAGCTCCTCTATGAGCTGACTGTAATCAATGCGCTCCTGAGGGCTGAGTGAGGACAGCTGAAACCTGGGCGGCTGCTTTTCTTCCTTTTCCTCCACCTTAGAGAAATGAAACAACTCTTTTGTTTGCGGCGGCAGATTGTTTTAAAAGAAAGTCCAGGAACATGCAGTGGACAGATCAAAACCTGGAACTGCTGATTTGTTTTAACACCATGGTTTTCTTCCTCGCTAAATCGTTTATTATCAACTCTCACCTGTGGCTCGGKTGCTACTGGAGGTTTGGTGAGAGGAAAGGCGATTCTGGGAGCTTTAGGCGTGAGCGTGTCGTCTTCTGGCTCCTCTGATGGAGGCGTCTTGACCTTCTGACCCACCTGCTGGTTAAAAACCTCGCAGGCCGCTACGATAAGACAAAGCCAGTATTCAGTGACAAAGTGCCTGTGACGGTAAATTTAAGTGATATATTTGAGTGCATATTTGGAAAGATAACATTAATGATGAATTGCAAACAAAAGTTCATGAAACTGAAATGAACAGTTGTTGAAATATTCGCATGAACAGAAACAGGAAGTGATGTCAGAGGGGAACGCCTGAATGAGTTGTTACAACAGCTAACGTACTGCAAAGAATCAGATGTTTCTGTAGATTATTTTGAGTCATTATCAGTCAGATTTATAAGTTACCCTTTTTTTTAAAAAGAGTTCCCCTTTGACATCACTTCCTGTTTCACTTGGRCTGCACCAAATTTAGTAAACAATATGCACGTTTTGTGACAAACTGGTTAAAAATCATATGAATGAGGCCAAATTTCTAAAATATTAGGATATTTTCTTTAATTTTCTGTAATTGAAGAAAAAGCATGTCACGGGCACTTAAAGGTGTATTATATTAGTCGTTGCTGTTTTTACTGTTTTTGCAAAGTCGGCAATTCCACTGACTCTTCCTCCTTATCTACAAGTTACAAAAAAGGCCCTTTACTCACTCATTAAACGGCTCGGTTCCAATAAACACAAAAACGTGAGCAACTTACCTATCTCCACCAGCTCYGAATCGGTCATGGAGTCTTTGAGCTGTGAGCCGGACTCTGCAGAGGGAGGGGGCGCAGGTGCGAGTGGTTCTGAGTGCTGAGACGGACTGCCGGGCCACTGTAAATTATCAGCCAGCTTGGCCCTCTCCTCCCTGGCTGTGGGGTCATCCCAGACGATCTGTTCACTCTGAGACGGTTCTGTGTTCATGTCCAGAGCCGCTTCTCTGGTCACCCTGGAAAACCAACAAACAGGAATAAATTCTGCAGCACAGTAAGTAACTCGGCATTTCACATGACGTTTAAAGCTCATTATTTTGACTTTGAGGTAAAGTTACATATAAATATGAAAATAATATGAAAATAGCCAAGGTAATTCCCATTTATAAAAATGGTGAGAAATGTATATTTCGTTATTACAGACCAACATCTTTATTACCACAGTTCTCAAAAATCTTGGAGAAGTTATTTGTGATCAGATTAGATCAATTCATCAGTAAAAATAATATTTTAAGTAGCCGTCAATAAGGATTTAGAGCCAATAACTCTACTTCAATGGCTCTTATGGAACTGACAGAACAAATAACAAATGCTATTGATCAGTGTGTGAGTGTGAATGGGTGAATGTCTGTTAGTGTAAAGCGCTTTGGGGTCCGGAGGGACTTGAAAAGCGCTCTATAAGTTCAGTACCATTTACCAAAAACAATATTGCGCCAGTATTTATGTTGATTTGAAGAGAGCATTCGACACGACTGACCATTGAATTTTACTTGAAAAGCTAAACAATTATGGGATTAGAGGACCAGCATTACAGCGGTTATGTAGTTATTTGGAAAATAGGAAACAGTTTGTATAAGTACATGATGTAAGATCTGAACTCTGTGGAATCACATGTGGAGTTCCTCAGGGTTCTGTACTTGGACTAAAATTGTTTATCTTGTATGTGGATGACTTGGTCAATGTGTCAGGATTATTTAAATGTGTTTTGTTTGCAGATGATACCACATTTTTTTTGCTTGGGTAAAGACATAGAACCTATGTAAAATGCAAGCAGAATTTGTGAAAATACAAAACTGGTTTAAACTCAACAAATTATCATTAAACTTGGATAAAGCTAATTATATGATATTTACAAATAAAGAACTGTTATTATTCCATTTAGAGTTGATGGTGTGGGGCTTAGTAGAGTTAGTGAGGTGAAGTTTCTGGGTGTTATTATTGATGAGAAACTGACGTGGAGACCTCATGTTAATTACTTAAGAAATAAACTAGATAAATCTATTGCATTGCTTTACAAAGTAAGGGACTTGTTTAATGATGAAGCTCTGTACATGTTACATAACACATTAACTGTTCCACACTTAGTTTATTGTGCTGAGGTAAGGGGTAAAGCATGTAAGACTATTACACRTCTGGTTTTTGTTTTGAAGAAAAGCGCTATAAGAGTTATCACTCGAAAACATTACCATTATCCATCTAATATAATATTCTGTAAACTGAAATGATTGAAATTCTATGATTTGGCTGATTATAATATTTTGTTAGTTATGTATAAAGCACACCAAAACACATTACCTTCAAACATTCAGATAAATTTTACAAACAGAGAGAGCTGTTATAATCTTAAGGGGCCAGAGATGTTTATGAAACTTAAATGTAGATTATGTTTGAAGAACGGTGCACCTCAATCCAAGGAGTGAGATTGTGGAATAATTTGGAAGACGATATTAAAAGTGCCAAATCAATGACCATGTTTAAGAGAATGATAAAGATTAGATTGTTAAAAAATAAGAAATGTTTTAATATGTAGCCATTCAATTTGTTGTTCTAAAAAAATTTGATGTTTTGTTTTGTTAACTGAAGATTATTATAGTTAGAAT